TATATAGGTACGTAGTAGTCAGCGAAACCCAATTATTTGAACCTGAAAGTATTTCTTGCGGTGTCTACAGGGCGATGAAAAAATTGGTGTCATAAATTTTGAAGATGTGAAGGAAATGTTTGATTTTAAAAGAAATTTGTTTCTTCTTTTTTTCTTTTTCTTCTTCTTCTTTTTCTTCTTCTTTCTTTGATTATTTTTTATCTCATAAAACGCTGGTATTTTAAATCGCCCTGTAGATTGATCAATAATGTTTAACAAATTGTATTTATAATAAATAATCAACATGTTTGCAATTAATATTTAACAACAAAAATACGAAACATGTTTTACCACAGACATTCAGACAATTTATATAAATGCATATCAGATATGTATATATATTTTTTCAGTCACAACCTTTTATAATAGTAAAAGAAAAATTATAGTATCACCAAAATAAAATATGCTTCAAAAATCGTAATAGATATTCCACAAAGTTTGAAAAATGGCAATAGATTGAGCTTGAACATACAAAATGTAATAGATTGTGTAAAATTGTAGCAAATCCAGTGTAGACTAAAAAAAATGATAAAAAAATTAGAAAGTAATAAATCTTCAACATCATCGTAATAAAGGGTGCCAAGAGGTAAAAGTTTGTGAAATTGCAATAAATTGTTCAAAATTGCAGTAGATCTACTATAGTCTAAAAAAATCGTAATAAAACCATTTAATCTGTAATAGATCTTCAAAAAAGTTTGCAAAATCGTAATAGATTTAGCTTAAACGAAAAAGATATAGAAGAAAGTGACATACCTTGAACAGGTTTGTACCTTGAGCCACTTTCAAGTTTCGCGCTAATTTTAGTCGCGCACCATCCATGCGTAATTGTTAGAACTATCATATTTCAGTAGCTGGCTATACCCGAAAATCAGTTGAATGTAAAGTGTAGTTTGTGAGTTTTGTTATAAAAATTGTTTTACAGCCAGAAAAGTGAAAAAAACGAGGTAACATTTTTTATAAATTACATGTTTATTATTGCTTAGAGTTGTTCCGCGATAACAATCTTAGATATTATGTTGTCTTCATCATCAAACCGTAATATTATATTTAGGCATTTCCTAACCTAAAAATCCTCACCTTAATTTATCAAAACACACGACGTGTGCTGTACCTTGAGCCAGGCCTTGGTGTTGTATTCTTGATTTCAGATAATGCCACGTAGAACAATAGAGTGTCATATCGGGAAGCAGCTAAAATATACAAGGTGTTGAGGCATACTCTCAAGAGGTATGTTAAAAAATTTCGCGGGTCCAATGATGAAAACTTCGAATACATCGTTCACTATGAAGGAAATAAGATTTTCTCTCGTACTTAAAGTAGGGAGCACGGTTGCATTATGGTCTGACTTTTGATAGTTGAAGTTAGATCATTGGCCTTTCAGTACGCAAAAGCAAATTTAAAAACATATCTGTATAAGTGGGACGCGGAGCAACTGGCTGGAAAGTCATGGTTATGAGGTTTAAGAGAAAGACTCAATAAATAATTATCACTACATAAAACGGAAGCAACTAGCAACTAGCAACTACTCTCTGAGTTTTATCCCAAAAAATATTATTAGTGGATTTAGAATTTCTGGAATTGTTCCTTTAAATGAAGACATTTTTGTCGATGAGGGCTTTCTTCCATCCAGTGTCACTGATCGACCTATACCAGAAGACAACAACCTAAATCAACCACCTAAAGCGAACGCAGAGGTTGAAGCTGGACGGTCCACTTCATTTACTCGAACCCCTGCAGCACTTGACGTCGACAATCATTATTTAGCTTCTACCAGTTTTGTATCCCCTGAAGGTATGAAACCATTTCCCAAGGCCGCTGCTCGAAAATCCACGAACCGAGGGAGACCAAAAGGTAATCACGAATCCTTACCGACACTCCTGAAAAAGAATAATTAGAAGAGGCTAAACGATTAAAGGATTTGAAAATATTAAAGAAAGTTGAGACAGTTAAGAGAAACTTTTTCAAGAAAAAACCTGCGCCAACATTTGCAAAAAAACTTAAGACAGTTTAGACGAATCAGATGAGATGGACTTGTCGTGTAATTCTGATGGCGATATTAGTTTGACTGACGAAGTAAATGCCCAGTAACTGGGGTTATGATTGACTCGAGACTTACCTGGAATCAGCATCTAGAAAAAACCACAGGCAAGGCGATCCTTTGGAAAAAATGGTGGTTTAAACCAGACATGATATATTGACTTTATAACATGGTGATGAGACCGATAATAACATACAAAGCTTTGGTGTGGTGGCCAAAGACACAGCAAAGAAAAGCAATAACGAGGCTAGGCAAGGTACAAAGACTTGCCTGCCTCGGAATAACGGGGTCAATGAAAACAACCCCCACAGCTGCAATGGAAGCACTTATAAGACTCCCACCTCTTTACTATGTGATACAAGGGGAAGCAAGATTAGGTGCTTAGAGATTAGGGAATACACTGGGAAATCTTGACATTAGGCCAGGTCACATGAGTATCTCAAGGTTAGTGACAGAAGACGTGCTAGACATGAGATCAGACCACATAACTAAGAGGCACTCTTTTATTACTCAATTTGAGGTTTTAATACAGGAAAGAGCAGAGATCACATAAGGGAGGCCAATGCCCAGACGGGTATAAGACTGGGGAAGGCACTGGGGCGGCAGTATTCTCCAAAACCCTGTAATAACCATAGCTATGCTATAGGAATACATTCCTCGGTATTTCAGGCCGAGGTATACGCAATTTTACAATGTGCAAAAACGAACAATGAAAAATCTGTCGAAAATCAGCATATTCAAATAATGTCAAACAGTCAAGCGGCACTTAAGGCCATATCGAGTCAGAAAGTTACATCGAGGCTGGTATGGGAATGCATCGAAGAACTAAGAACATTGGCAGACCGAAATAAAGTAAAACTATTTTGAGTGCCAGGTCACCAAGGGATCGAAGGCAACGAAAAGGCTGACAAACTTGCAAAGAGAGGGTCAGAAGAAACATCGGAACCAGACACAAACCCAGGAGTACCAAAAAGTACAGTCTGGGGTTTCATAAACGACTAGATTCGGCAACAACATATTAACTATTGGGGAAGCACCCCAAAACAGGCGCATGGAAAAGCCTTCATAGGCAGACCTACTCTTTATGAACTCTAGGCAGAACTACTTGAATAGGAACCAGTTAAAAGTGATAACAGGGTTCATGACTGGGCACGCTCCAGTAAAGGGACACTTAAACAAAATTGGCATGTGCAATGGGGAACGCATGTGTCGACTATGTCACAAGAAACCAGAAACGGCCAAACACATACTGTGCGAATGCGAAGCTCTAGATCGCAAAAGACTGGCTCTTTTTGGACAACCCCAGGTTAATCCAACAACGTTTAGAACCCACCCAAGGATCTGTACAAACTTGTACAAGGTACAAAGGTGACAGAGTGGGTGCTATGAACTAATATGGGGTAAAACACAATAAGCCAAGAGGCTTCAGTGTTATTCTGAGACATAGTCAGACGAGCCCAGGAGAGAAAAAAAACTGGGAAAGCAATTAGAAACTGAAACTATCAATGAAGGTGAATACCTATTGGTCAAAGTGTCCGGTAAAAAAAGCTTCGGATATTATGTGGCCAAGGTTTTGACAGTAAAACCCGAAATATGTATCACTTACCTAAAATAAGCTGCTGTGGCAAACACATTTTTGTTGGATGATTCGGTCAGAAGTTACATGGTTGATCAAAAAGACGTGATTTTGAAATTGCCTCCTCCAATAACCACTGCAGGATCGGCTCGTCAGCAGTCATTTACCATAGATCTTAGCCCTTATGCTTTAAAATAATCAAAATAATAAAGTTTTATTTTGTCATTGCTGTTTTTATATCTTGGCTCAAGGTACATTACCATATGGATCAAGGTACAACCTCATGTTGTACGTTGAGCCACTTTTCACTTTTTTTTATTAATTCATAAGATTGTTATCCATATTTTTTTTCACGAACCATATCATCATTGTAAAAACAAAAAGTCAAAAGTTATGATAGCAACAATCATATTACCGAAATGTCATTTCAATTATATTTTACACTTCTGCTAAAGTGGTCGCAAGGTACGACACCTTCTTCTACTGTAACCGTTTGCAAAAATGTAATACATTGCGCAAAACGGTAGCAGATCTAGTTAGTATAGGCTAAAAAAAAAACTTATTAAAATGAATCGAAAAGTAAACTCGAGAAAATCATAATAGATTGGGCCTTAATGTACAAAATCTACTAAAGCTGTCTGTTATATAATAAAGTTCATAAAATTGTAGTAGATCTAATATAGGCTAAAAAATCCGAATAAAACTATTCAAAAAGTAATAGATCTTCAAGAAAGTTTCCAAAATCATATTAGAATTGGAATAAATGCAAAATATCTAGGTACTGTAACTCTTTTTAAAAATGTAATAAAGATACTGTAGTAGATCTAATTCAGACTAAAAAACCGTATTAAAAATTCGAAAAAATTCGAAAAAAATCATAATAGATTGGCCCTTAATGTCTCCTGGAATCGTCTATAAAAGTGTAATAATGTGTGCTTAATTGTAATAGATCTGATGTAGGCTAAAAAATCATAATAAAACGAGTTGACAAGTAATAAATCTTCTACAAAGTTTGAAAAATGGTAATAGATTGTAGCAGTCAGCATCTAAAAAATTGTAATACCTTATATTATATTATGTATTAAATAATACCTAGAAAAGTTTATCAGCTAACTAATCAGCTAAATATATGTTATTTACTTATTGTGCACAACATAATTTTAAATATTATGGTTGTAAAATTATTTGATAGTACTGCAATAAAATAGTAAAAAAGATATTCTTACAAAACCGTATTAAATTGCAAAAATCGTAATAGATCGCAGTAAATATAAATTGTTCTGAACATCTGTGATAACAACACGATCTTCTTAAAATACCTTACTTGACCTATGTAACAATATCCACCGGTTTTATCAACATAATCTGGCACAAAAAAAGCATCAGCTGCAAATTATAATTCATATCTCTTAATTATTATATAGCCTGATTATTGGATGCCCTCAACATATGCAGTATCGTCCAAGGTGTGCAACCAGTTGAAGATCATCATGTTTCTTTCGTACTTGGACAAAGGTTTTCCTCTTTCTCTCTCAACGTCCCTAATGGTCAACGGCAGGTTCTTACCAGCTCTTTGTTTGGCTACCCTCAGCATAGCCGCGTTTGTACTATTTGAAGTTGTGGGACTCTTGCTCGGCGTGGGACTTGAACCTAAAATTATGTTTAATTATTTTAATCTTAACTTATTTAAAACAATTAAATTTATTGTCACTCTGTTTACGTACCTGGAACTGTTAAGCGTGAAGGAGCAGGAGAATTATCCTTACAGGAATCAGATCCAAGGCTGGCTGTCACTGTAGATGGCGTTACTTCTAATCTATCGAGGTTGAACTCGCTTTGTGACAGGCGTTCTATGGCTTTGTACGTGGTTAACAAACGTCTTCTTATATAATTTTGGCGAACCTAAATCAAAGATAAATACATCTTTTTTTTGGTAGCTGTTGGGACCACTTAAAAACATACAGGGTGTCTGTAAAAGGTCTTCACAAAAACATACCACATATTCCTTAGACCACAATAAGTCGATTTAAGTAAAATTACCTTAGTACAAAGTTGCTTCGTTTGGGCTCCAGAGGGCCTTGAAGTTACAATTTTTAAATCGTTTTTCCTATATAAATTTAAAACGGCATATGCGATTTTGCTGAAATTTGGTATATTGGTAGAGTTTTATGTGGCAAAAAAAATGGTGTTAAAATTTTGTCCGATAATATTACATAGGCGTAGAACTTAATTTTTAAAATAATTGCACCTTTATAAATTCTACGCCAATGAAAGAAAAGGAGTTTGAGTATGAAATTTAGATTGCGCAACTCATTTATTTTAAAAAAGGTACTCTTCATAAGACTCGATTACTCTCATGGTTTTCGCTAAATTTCTGTTTTAATAATTTAGAGTGCATAGGTTTCACAAAAATATTTATTTACAACATAATCAAAATAGAGATTTTATAAAAATTGTTCAAAATGTTCACCATTTTCACGCATACAAAGATTTATACGTCGAAGAAAATTAAAATTACATTACTAATTGTTTCAATACAAACTATAAAAGGTATTAAAATACCTGGAGTTCCTTGAGGAACAAGATGTGCTAGTATATGAATAGTATTATTGAATCACCCAAAGATTATAAATCTTAATCATAAAGGTAATGCTAATCTTAAGGTTATAGTTATGTGTCTTGTTCTGGTAAAGAAATTTAGATATCGTTGTACTGCAAAGACGTATTAAAAGTGCTCCTATAAAAACGTTAATTTAACAGTGAACTAGTGCACATATTTTCCTGGAACTTTCCATGTGAGTCAATGAATATATAATATACTTGTTTTAAGTTGTATGAAGCTTCAATATATATTCTAACAATAGATATTTGAATCTTTATATTATTTTGGGTCGGTAACAAGGCAAATATTCTCATTTATCGTCAAGAGTTTTTGTTAGATGGTAACATTTCAAATTAAAGATGGGCGACTCCGGCGATTTAAGTAACTGTGATTTATTTAAGAAACTTTTGGATGTTATTCAGTCAGAAAATAACAAATTGTCTCAGCAAATAAAAGAGGAAAACAAAAATATTATTGATCGGTTGGATGAAAACACAAATAAATTAAAAAATCTTGAAATTAAACAACAAGCCGTAGAAACCAGATGCATAACTTTGGAAAGACTGTCTAGGCGTAATAATATTATTATTCACGGTATACAAGTGCCAGAATCTGAAAATCTACTACAATTTATTCTATTAAAGCTAGAAGATTTACTTAAAGTTAAAGTATCACTTACAGATATTGACAACATTTTTAAAATTCCGAGTAAAACAAGTTTTCTTGTCAAAGTTGAATTTACAAACTATCTTATAAAGCAAGAAATACTTCGCAATTGTGTAAAACTCAAAGGAAAAAATATTTTTATTAATAAAGATCTCTGTAAAGAAGATAGGGAAACACAAACATTTCTTCTCAAGCACCTTAAAGCAGCTAGAGGCCAAAAAAAATCTGCTAGAATTAAAAATTGGTCTTTGTTTGTTGATGGAGTGGTATACACCATTAATAATTTAAAGGAACTTGAACAGAACATTCAGGTAAACACTGAAGAACCTGCCACCCCGCAAAACTTAGCACCAGCTCTGGAAACAACAAACAAAAGAGCTAGAACTTCACCAGCTGATCCTGAGCTCGAAAAAATTAAGCTTCACAGGTCCAATTCAGTGTCAAGTGATAAAAGTGACAAACAAACAAGAAGTGGTATAAGTTACTAGTAATTTCTCGTGAAACCAAAGTTATCCCATCTCTATACGCGAATTTTTTTTTTTAGTCTAATTATCTATTGATAAGTAAAACAGGTGTTAGCTTTAGTGGAATAAACTAAATTATAAATTACTGTTTATTTAAATTAATGTTTTCATTTTCTATTTGTCATATCAATTCTAGATATGTGTTGGCTGATTTCTTTGAGTTTAAACGTACTGTTTGTGATATTTACGATATAATTACCGTCTCTGAAACATGGCTTTCACCCCAAATTGATGATGATTTTGTACTTCTACCTGGGTATAAATTATTCCGACGCGATCGGTTGACAAAAAGAGGAGGCGGTGTAGCCATTTATATTAGAAATTGTTTTGCTGGCTCTGTATTATCATCAAGTTTAAACCGAACTGAGTCTGAACAATTATGGATTTCAGTTATACATAATAATAATAAGTACGCTATTTGCTCAACTTACAGACCTAGCGACTTCTCTTTTGCACAGTTCTCAAACGAACTTGATGAATGTCTTAACTGGGTGGCAACAAGACATAATTATATTATAATTGCTGGGGATTTAAATATAAATTTTCTAGACCTTAATAATAAATGGTGCACTATGTTTTACTCAGTTATAAACTCATATAATCTAAAACAAGTTGTAGACCAACCAACTAGAGGTCCTAATTTACTAGATGTTATTATTTGTTCAGAAATACTTTCTCCTAATGACATAAAAGTTTCCAGTTCTACCGTTTCAGACCATTCAATACCCTCATGTAACGTTGGATACGTTAAAAATAAATTAAAACCTTTTTTACACAAGTACCGCGATTTTAAAAGATTAAACGTAAATGAATTCAATCATGATTTGAATATGTGTGATTTTTCAGAAATCTACACAACAAACGACATTGACAAAAAAATTAAGATTCTAAATAACAATATATTGTATTTATTTCAGAAACATGCCCCTGTACGGCAAATAAAAATAACAAAAAATAAGGCACCTTGGCTTACAGACACAATAAAAATAATGATTAAATATAAAAACAGGGCATTAGAGAGATTCAATAAAACAAAAGTTCCTAATCATTGGGAGTATTACAAAACTCTAAAAAATCAAGTTAATTACGCAATTAAGAGAGAGAAAAAAGCATTCCTGGAATTTAAGTTAAGACAAAAAAGTAACATATGGAAAGAATTAAATAATCTGAACATAACAAAAAATAAAAAATCTACTATTCCCAATGAACTAAAAAATCCTGAAATAATAAATAATTATTTTATTCACGGTATTGGTGGCCTAGATAACCCAGACATACACATTTTAAATCATTATGAGTCTCATGTCCAAGAGAATCTGCAAGATTTTAAGTTTACCGAAGTTAATGAATTAAAAGTATATGAAAAATTACTCTCCATTAAATCCCATGCTACTGGTCCGGATGAAATAAATATTGTAATGCTGTTACATACTTGCCCTACAATTCTACCCTACGTGACACATATAGTCAATCATTGTATCAATAATTCCACCTTCCCATCCTTATGGAAACAATCAAAAGTATTGCCGCTTCCCAAAAAACAGAACCCAACTGAATATTCTGATCTGAGGCCAATTAGTATACTTTGTACTCTGTCAAAGGCTTTTGAGAAAATTTTAGACGAACAAATTCGCTTTCATATTTCACAATTTGATCTTCTACCTAAACATCAATCGGGCTTCCGTCCAAAATACAGTTGCACTACAGCGTTACTTAAAGTATTAGACGATATTTACTCGTATATAGATGCTAAAAAATTATGTATACTAATTCTCTTAGATTACTCAAAAGCTTTTGACAAAATAAATCACTCTTTACTGTTAGCTTTATGTCATTTTATGGGATTTAACACAGCCTCAGTAAATTTATTGAGCTCTTACCTAAATGGAAGATATCAAAGAGTTCAAATAGAAGAAAAAACATCCAATTTAATACATATTACACGTGGAGTACCGCAGGGATCTATTTTAGGTCCTCTCTTATTTTCAATTTATACCTCTCAATTTTTTAAATATCTGAAACACATGAATTCTCATTTCTACGCTGATGACACTCAACTCTACCTTGACTTTAAAGAATCCGAATCGAATGGCGCTATCACAAAAATCAACGAAGATCTGCAAACTATCTCGGAGATATCTAACAAATTTTGCTTAACAATTAACGCTACAAAATCCAAAGCTATGCTTTTCGGCCGTAAACAAGTTAAAAATAGAATTAAAAATATTCTAAGGGTAAGTATTAACAATGAATTTTTAACATTCTCAGTTTGTGAGAAAAATCTGGGCATATACATTGATGAAGATGTATCCTTTGCGCAACATATCTCTTCTATAATAAAAAAATCTTTCTGTAATCTAAAGTTAATTTATTCTAATCGGGAATTTCTCAACAGAAATACCAAAAAGTTGCTTTGCGAAAGCTTAGGGGCTGTCTCAGTTTAATTACGGTGACATTGTATATGGGCCTGCACTTACACATTTTCATAAAAACCGTTTACAACGAACTCAAAATGCGTGTGTTAGATTTATTTGCGGGGTTCGTCGTCGTACCCGTACATCTCAACATCTGGCTAGTTTGGGATGGCTTAATCTAAATAATAGGAGATTGTTACATGCCTATGTCCTGATCCATAAATTATTGTTATCAAAAAAACCTGATTATTTGTATGAAAAAATAAAAAGGAGATCTGAAGTCCATAATGTTAATGTAAGATTTAAAAATTTCCTAACACTTCCGAAACACACTACAACCTTATTCCGATCTTGCTTTTCGTATTTCACAGCCAAATTATTTAACCTTGCCCCTAAAATATTTAATATCACATCACTCTCAAGTTTTAGAAAAGTAGTCAAAAACCTTTTATTTAACGGAGATATCACTTACAATTTTTAATTTATATTGTTAATTAAATTTAGTTTAACAATAATATTTCATGTTATTTCTATTTTTTACTCGTCACTATTGATTAATAACTACAATAACAACACAGATCTAGGATTTATAAAATTTGACCTTTGTTTTTATTATTTCTAAGTTTCCATATTAATTGTTTGTTTGCTTTCTTATTGAAAGCTAGAATTTCACTTTTTTTCATAGAAAATCTGTATGCATTACTTAATTATTTATATTTTTCTGGGTTGCGTGGAAGAGCGCTGCTTATTTGCTGGCTCAATCTTTGAGCTCGCCAGTAAGTGCGAACGTCGCCTTTTGTCTTTCAGCATTTTTTTATGTATATTTATATAATTTTGTATAATAATTTGTATGTATTGAAAGCAATAAAGTCATTATTATTATTATTATTATTATTATTATTATTATTATTAAATGTATCCTTTCCATAACTTCTTCATCACCTCTAAGATTGTTTATTGCATCTTGAATACGTTGCCAGAGTTGTTCTTCATTTTCTACAGGTTCCCTGTAAACTGTGGATTTCAGATGTCCCCATAAAAAGTAATCCATCGGTGTTAGGTCAAGGGAACGTGGTGGCCAGTTTACAGGTGCGTCATTACCTCTGCCTATCCATTTGTGTGGATATTGTTCATTCAAGTGGTTTCTAATGTTTAAAGAAAAATGTGGTGGAGCTCCATCTTGCATAAACCACATATCTCTCCAAAGTTGGAGAGGTAAATCTTCTAACAATTCTGGCAACGTATTTTGTAGAAAATCCAAATAATTTTCTCCAGTTAATCTTCGTGGAAATATGACAGGACCAACAATGAAATTACCAATTATTCAGCCCACACATTAATTTTGAATTCGTGCTGGAAATGGTTTACCTTTATTGCATGCGGATTTTCAACGGCATAAACATGTTCATTATGGGTATTAGTTATACCTCTTCTTGTAAAACCCGCTTCGTCGGTAAATAGAACCTTCTTGACAAAGTTTGGATCTCTTTCTCTTTGCATATTAACAAATCGACAAAAACCCAAACGAATTTGAGGATCAAGGACTAATAATTCTTGTACTGGCTTCTTATGGTATGGATATTGCAATTGTTCTCTAAGCACATGAACGGCATCTTTATTTACCCCTAGTTCCCTTCCAATTCGTCTGGCGCTTAATTCTGGATCTTCTTCAACACGTTCTAAAATGTCTTCTTCAACTTCAGGTATCCTTACAAAACGTTCTCTTCCATTATCAACAGTGTTGGGAGCAAAGGAACCGGTCTCCCGAAGACGTCTCTCAACAGCAGCAAAAGTTGGGTGGCTAGGTACACGACGATTTGGAAACCTTTTAGAGTACACCCTGACACTCTCTCGAGCATTTCCTTCACAAAATCCTAATGTCAGTAACATATAGGTATATTCGGCATTGGTATATTGTACAGCCATATTAATAAACCACGCATTTGTTTTTTTAATTATTGAGTCAGATAGAACACTTTCAATCGTTAACAAGAGATTAGGTGTTAAAACTTGACAATATTTTTATTTGGATGAAACTATGGAAACAAACAATAAATGTTTTTGTATACGTATTGCAGGCAAATAATTAATATTCCTCAAAAAATCGTACATGGCAAGAATCGAGTATTTTTGTTAAAAGTCTCGATTAGAGGTGTTGAAGAAGATATGAAAAAAGTACATTTTTATGTTTTTCATCGTATAAAATTTTGTCCGATAATAATACGTAGGCGTAGAACTTGATTTTTTAAATAATTGCACCTTTAAAAATTCTACGCCAATGGCAGAAAAGGGGTTTGAGTTTGAAATTTGGATTGGGTACTCATTTACTACAAAAAAGTACCCTTGATAACACTCGATTTACTTTCATGGTTTTGACAAAGTTTGTATTTTAATAATTATTGTTTATGTTCTAAAATTACTAAAATGCAAATTTCGTCAAAACCATGAGAGTAATAGAGTCTTATCAAGAGTACCTTTTTTAAAGTAAATGAGTTGCGCAATCTAAATTTCATACTCAAACTCCTTTTCTTCCAATGGCGTAGAATGTTTAAAGGTGCAATTATTTAAAAAATCAAGTTCTACGCCTATGTATTATTATCGGACAAAACTTTAATACCATTTTTTTGCCACATAAAACTCTAGCAATATACCGAATTTCAGCAAAATCGCATATGCCGTTTTAAATTTATATGGGAAAAACGATTTAAAAATTGTAACTTCAAGGCCCTCTGGGGCCCAAACGAAGCAACTTTGTACTAAGGTAATTTTACTTAAATCGACTTATTTTGGTCTAAGGAATATGTGGTATGTTTTTGTAAAGACCTTTTACAGACACCCTGTATAATGGCTCTATATCTCATGATCTAAAGATGATGCAAAAACGTTTCTAAGATACGAAGAGAAATATCAATTGTACATTTTTAAAGTATCACCCTGTATGTAGTATTTAGATTGATATTGATACTAGAATGATTCATACCTTTTTGTTAACTGATCTAATAAAGTCAGCTGCAGTAAAGGCAGGCGGTGGAGGGGTACTTGCTGGTTGATGAGTATTAGAACTAGATTGTCCACCATGTGGAGAAGGCAGCTGAGAAGTAGAAGCTATATCACCAACGGCAACCCAAGTAGAACAAGATCTGAAAGAATAAATTTAAAATATTACTTACATTTGACTTTAAACTATATACAGCTGTGCCAGTGAGTAAAGTACTGAGGAACTTTAGGAACAATATCTTCAGGATGTCTTGAAGCTTAAGCAATAATGATTTTTCTTCTGGATTTAAATTTTGCAGCTATGTCAGTAGGTAGAGTAATGATGAACATAGTCAGTGCTACTTATTACTTCAGGAGCAGTACTTTCTTGAAGCTTAAACAATAAGGATTTCCCTTTAGTCTTAACTATATTTGACTTTAAACTACACAGCTGTTTTTGGTTGCAGCAGGGATTAGTACAAAGCCCGAGGAGAAAAAAGTAGCCATATTCTTGAATCTCATTGGAGATGATGCTCTAGAACTATACAATACCTTTAAATTTGAAGGCGAAACAAAAGATCTTGCGACTGTTAAGAAAAAATTTGATGAATACTGTTCTCCGAAGAAAAATGTGATATTCGAACGATTCATGTTCAACAGTATTGTACAAAAAGAAGGTCAGCTGTTCGATAACTTTGTCACAGAATTAAAAAAAGGTATCAAGACAACCGAGTATGCAGAACAGGACGATATGATTCGTGACCGAATTGTAATGGGAATTTACAATAAGGCCACTCAAGAAAAATTACTGCGCGAAGCAAATTTAACATTGCAAAAGACTATAGATATGTGTCGTGCTATAGAAATCAGTAAGGACCAATCAAAAGTACTACAAAATGAAACCTCTGTTAATGAGGTGAGATTCAGTAAGAGAGACACAATAAAAAATAATTGCCATTATTGTGGGTATTCCCATGAAAGAGGAAACTGTCTGGCTTGGGGAAAAACTTGTGCCAAGTGCCAAGGGCGCAATCATTTTGCCAGTGTGTGTAAAACAGGGGAATACAAAAAGAAAGAAGAAAGAACAAATGATACTACAGTAAAAAACATGCAGAGAAGCAGGAGAATCAAGAAACAAGTGTATGAAGTGGCTGAAGCAGCATCTCAAGAAGTGGAAATTTGTGTGAGTGAATCTGACAGTGGAAGTGAAAATGAGTTTTATGTGAATGCGGTCGGGAAAAATCATAAGGATGAAGAAAACAGCTGGACCAAGGAGATAGTAGTGAATAATAAGCCTGTCCTATTTAAACTTGACACAGGAGCAGAGGTTAGCATTTTACCCCTAAAAGTCCTTGACAAAGTTGCTCCTTTTTATAAGTTAATTAAAACAAATGTTTCATTAGTGTCATATGGTAACCCTAACTTTAGGCTCAAAAGCTTAGGAGAAGTGAAACTCAATTGCACTTTAAATAATAAGCAGTCAGAAGTTTCCTTCATAGTAGTAGATACTGAAAAACATGTCCCCTTGTTAGGGCTACCAGAATGTATACAATTTAACTTAATAAAAAGAATCGACTCAGTAGAAAATACAAAATTCAACTCAGTAAATGACATTGTCAGTAGATATGCAAGCGTGTTTGAAGGTTTAGGAAAATTCCCAACTCAACATCACATAACTTTAAAAAATAACATCATACCACATATCAGTGCCATAAGAAGGGTACCACTAATATTGCATGAACCTTTAAAGAAAAAACTATGTGATCTTGAGTTGAAAGGAATAATAAAAAAAGTGGATGAACCAACAGAGTGGGTGCATCCACTGGTCATTGTTGAAAAACCAAATGGTGACCTACGCCTGTGTCTTGATCCAAAGGAATTAAATCAAGCCATTAAAAGAGAACATTTTTTGATACCATCTGTAGATGAAATAGCTGGAAAATTAAACAATAAACATTTTTTTACAGTGCTCGATATGAAAGACGGATATTGGCAAATAGAGTTAGATAAAGAAAGTGCTGATTTAATGACCTTTGGAACACCATTTGGCCGTTATCAATTTAAACGATTGGCATTTGGTATATGCTCAGCACCTGAAGTCTTTCAGAAAAAAAATTATGAAATATTTGGAGATCTTGAAGGTGTGGGGTTATACTTTGATGACCTAATAGTCACAGGATCAACAGAGGCTGAGCATGACCAAAACCTAAAAAGAGTTTTAGATAGAGCATTAAAGTACAATATTAAATTTAATTATAAGAAAATACAATTTAAACAAAATAATGTAAAATTTGTGGGTCAGATATTTTCTCAGAAGGGAGTTCAGACTGATAAAAAATATATTCAAGCAATATTAGAAATGCCCACACCACAGTCAAAACATGATGTGTTACGATTTTTAGGCATGGTAAAATTTCTAGGTAAATTCATCCCAAATTTGTCAAAAATAACTGCCCCATTGCGTAACTTAACCAGGCTTGATGTAGAATGGCAATGGACTGATGAACACAAAAAGTCAATTGATAATTTAAAAAAGCTATTAACAAATTCACCTGTGTTATCATATTTTAATTCAAAAAAGCTCATAGAAATTGAAACAGATGCATCCAAGGATGGCCTAGGGGCATGCCTGTTGCAAGATGGAAAACCAGTAGCCTTTGCATCACGAAGTCTGACAAAAACTGAGCAACAGTATGCCCAGATAGAAAAAGAAACTCTGGCCATACTATTTGCAGTAAAAAAATTTCATCAGTTTGTCTATGGTTTTCCAATAAAAGTCCATAGTGACCATAAACCTTTAGAGTCGATTTTTAGGAAAGAACTTCAATCTAGCTCTCCTCGAATTCTAAGGATGAGACTTAAGCTATTAGGATACAACTTAACCATATGTTATAAACCAGGTAAACAAATGTATGTATCTGATACACTCTCAAGGGCGGTTATTAACCAAAATGGTCATAAACCAGATGTTGATATTGAATTTGCAGTTCATTTAGTTGTTAAGTCCCTGCCAATGTCGGAAGAGAGAAAAGAACAATTTAAAAAAGAGACGTTAGATGATCCTAACTTAATTGAAGTTACTAACTTCATTAACAATGGGTGGCCAAATCAGAAAAATAAAATACCCGACAGTATTAAAATATATTATAAGCTAAAAGAGCAGTTGCATATATGTGATGACCTTGTTCTTGTAGACAATAAAATAGTTGTTCCTCTTAAGTTACAGAGAGAAATGATCAAGTTACTACATGAAGGACATCTAGGCATAGAAAAAACAAAATCTCGTGCTCGAACTATATTTTATTGGCCAGGCATCACAGCTGATATTGAATCATACATTAAATCATGCCAAATTTGTGAAAAATATGCAAGAAAAAATTCGAAACAAACACTTCTACCATATCCACTTCCAAGTAGACCTTGGGAGAGAATAGGGTCAGATATTTTTACATATGGACAAAAAAGTTACATTGTTCTGTTTGATGCCTACTCTAATTGGTTAGAACTATTACCAATAAAAGACAAAAGTGCAGAAACCGCAATAGCACAAATAGAACCAGTATTTTCAAGATTTGGACCACCTGATATGTTAGTGGCAGATAATGTGCCATATAACAGTGAAAAATTTAGGGATTTTGCTAAGAAATGGAACTTTAATCTAGTCTTCCGAAGCCCCCATTTCCCTAGATCTAATGGTCTAGCGGAAAAAGCAGTGTCCATCTCAAAAAATTTGCTAAAGAAAACATTGGAAAATAGAAAAGAAGCAGATATACACTCAGCTCTATTAAATTATAGAAATTCTCCTCTTAAACATATGGGGTATTCACCTTCACAACTCCTGAACAGTCGGGTCTGCAAGACAAAGGTTCCTGTCTCAGCAGACTTATTGATGCCATCCTTGTGTGTAAATGTACAACAAAAAATGCAAGCTAAACGTGAGCTCAATATAAAAAACTTTAATAAAAACGCAAAAGAGCTCAGAGACCTGCAACCAGGTCAGAATGTCACAGTTCGTAACCATCATACCAAAACCTGGGAACCTGCTAAAGTGAATAACTATCATGAATTGCCTAGATCCTATTTGTTACAGGACTGTCATAACAACACTATTCGAAGAAACAGACAGGACATAAGACCATCTCAAAATCCTCTTCAGATAGTTGATAATCCTATTCTTGATGATAACTTTTCTAAAACTTCTAATAGTGTTGGTACTGACCAAACTAATAAGTTAGAATTATATAGACCTACTGTTGAACCTCATGCGCATGCTCCTTCTTTAGTTGACTGCTCTGACCAAAGTATTGACCCTGGATCAGGGTCAAGTAAAGTAGTAATAACCCGCTCAGGCCGTATTAGCAAACAACCAAATAAATTAGATTTGTAACTAGAAAGGGAGGATGTATAATATAGTACCTACACACCCAATACACATGTGTGTAGTTAGGGTTGCATAGGTACTAGATCAGTAATAGGTGTTAGATTCTGACAGTAGACAGATAACCTACTTCTTGTTACAGGGCTACCTCGTGCCTGGTGTTACGTTAAAACTTAATAAAGTGATTTGAATAGTTAGAGGTTTTAATTATTCTAGTAGCCTACATAATACAGCAAGTAAGTAAAGTACCTACTGAGAAACGTAATAATCAATCCGACTTGGTACTTCATTAAACGATAGTTACTTTCAAGTTGTCTTGAAGCTTGAGTAAAGTTTACAAACATAATTTATAGTCATATCAAAGTAAAGCTACCACCACCGGAGCATAGTATGTTATTTACCCCTCCTTCCCTGTACCCAACTTCAAAGAGCAAGCAAAAAAACGACGGGCCACTTTTTGTAGTCAGATGAAGAACTATTAAGCAATTTTGAGGATAGACATAAAGTTGGCTATATCAAATTGACATTTCAAACAATAATTTTTTGACATTGTCAAACATTTATGCAATTTCTATTGAAAGAAAGGAAGAAGAAATTCCCACCTTGACGTTTGATCCAGTCTTGCGTTCTCCAATAAAAACCCGGATCTCTGCAACGAGTTCAGGGCTAATTCTGAGACGGCGTTTCTGAGTCCCGGGATTGATGGTCCGTCATCAGGCGACGGTAATTGGCTAATGTCGGATGTGCTGAAACTTTTTTGAAGACCCACGGCCGAGGATAAGGCCGCGCAACTACGGATTAATTCAGTCTCTTCTTCGAACCATAAGATTTCAGGTATATCTGCAGGCCTGAAATATTAACAGTTATGAAATTGAAAAATATTATGCTTTGAAAATGACTGGTGTGAACTTAGCAGACCAAACTTGGCAGCCAAAATGGCGAAGGAACCCGAATGAACAGTAACGTCGGTTCCAGGTTAATAAATGTTATTAAATAACTATTGCGGTAATTATTAAATAAACAGTAGAAGTAAGAACATTTTAAACAAATATAAACCATAAAATAGATATTAAGCCAGATTTAGGAATATTTGTATTCAAGAGAAATGAAAAATTGGTCTTTCTAAGATTTTGATATATCGCGGCCAACAAAGAATCTTAAATAAGTCCAAAACAAGACATACTATCAAGCTGATATTTTAACACAATTTAATCTATTCCTAAGCCTCACTAAAAAAGTTATTGTCAATGTTTCGCAAGCCGTCAAAAAGTAGGAAAAAATTAAAAGAATATAAAAAAACTGTAAAAATAAAACGTCTGCCAAAAAACTATCTACAGTATCTCCATAAATACACATACTATCAAGTTCATACCTTAAAAAGAACAATTCTATACATATCCATATGTAATAGTAGTACTGTCAATTCATTGCAAGCCGTCAAAGAGTAGGAAAAAAATTAAAGAATATAAAAAAACTCTAAAGATAAAAAGTCTGCTAACAAATTATCTACAATACCTCCATAACTAGACATACTATCAAGTTCATATTTTAAACAGAATAAGTCTATACATATCTATATGTAATAGTGGTACTGTCAATTCATCGCAAGCCGTCAAAGAGTAGGAAAAAATTAAAAGAATATAAAAAAACTCTAAAGATAAAAAGTCTGCTAACAAATTGTCTACAATAACTACATAATTAGACATACTATCAAGTTCCTATTTTAAAAAGAATAAGTCTATACATATTTATATGTAATAGTGGTACTTTTAATTCATCGCAAGCCGTCAAAGAGTAGAAAAAAATTAGAAGAATATAAAAAAACTCTAAAGATAAAAAGTCTGCTAACAAATTATCTTCAACACCTCCATAACTAGACATACTATCAAGTTGATATTTTAAACAGAATAAGTCTATACATATCTATATGTAACAGTGGTACTGTCAATTTATCGCAAGCCGTCAAAGAGTAAAAAAAATAGAAAGAATATAAAAAACTCTAAAGATAAAAAGTCTGCTAACAAATTATCTACAATACCTCCATAACTAGACATATTATCAAGTTCATATTTTAAAAAGAATAAGACTATACATATTTATATGTAATAGTGCTACTGTCAATTCATCGCAAACCGTCAAAAAGTAGGAAAAAATTAAAAGAATATAAAAAAACTCTAAAGATAAAAAGTCTGCTAACAAATTATCTACAATACCTCCATAACTAGACATACTATCAAGTTGATATTTTAAACAGAACAAGTCTATACATATCTATATGTAATAGTGGTACTGTCAATTTATCGCAAGCCGTCAAAGAGTAGAAAAAAATTAAAAGAATATAAAAAAACTCTAAAGATAAAAAGTCTGCTAACAAATTATCTACAATACCTCCATAACTAGACATACTATCAAGTTGATATTTTAAACAGAATAAGTCTATACATATCTATATGTAACAGTGGTACTGTCAATTCATCGCAAGCCGTCAAAGAGTAAAAAAAATAGAAAGAATATAAAAAACTCTAAAGATAAAAAGTCTGCTAACAAATTATCTACAATACCTCCATAACTAGACAAACTATCAAGTTCATATTTTAAAAAGAATAAGACTATACATATTTATATGTAATAGTGCTACTGTCAATTCATCGCAAACCGTCAAAAAGTAGGAAAAAATTAAAAGAATATAAAAAAACTCTAAAGATAAAAAGTCTGCTAACAAATTATCTACAATACCTCCATAACTAGACATACTATCAAGTTCATATTTAAAAAAAAAATAAGTCTATACATATCTATATCTAATAGTAGTACTGTCAATTCATCGCAAGCCGGCTTGCGATATGGATATGTATAGAATTGTTCTTTTTAAGCTATGAACTTGATAGTATGTGTAGTTATGGAGATACTGTAGATAGTTTGTTGGCAGACGTTTTATTTTTACAGTTTTTTATATTATTTTAATTTTTTTCTACTTTTTGACGGCTTGCGAAACATCGACAGTAATTTTTTTAGTGAGGCTTATAAATAGATTAAATCGTGTTAAAATGTCAACTTGATAGTATATCTTGTTTTGGACTTATTTAAGATTCTTTGTTGGCCACGATATATCAAAATCTTAAAAAGACCAATTTTTCATTTCTCTTGAATACAAATTTTCTTAAATCTGGCCTAATATCTATTTTATGGTTTATATATTTTTTTAAATGTTCTTACTTCTACTGTTTATTTAATAATTACCGCAATATTTATTAATTAAAATTTATTAACCTGGAACCGACGCCACTGTTCATTCGGGTTCTTTCGCCATTTTGGCTGCCAAGTTTGGTCTGCTAAGTTCACACCAGTTTGAAAATGGTATTTTTCTATTTTATATAACCATTAAGATTGTGTT